AAAATGCCCTCTCCAAGCCGAACAGCTTTAAAATAGCATATAGTTTCCGTCTAACCAATGGATTGATAGTCGTCAATTCATATCTCAGGAAAGCCAAGATCCTTTCCGGAGCAAAAAATTGAGAAAATCTGAGGAAAAGGTGTAGAAGCACTTACTGCTGCTCACCTTCTGCGTGACCTGAGCTCAAGTCCTGGGTAAGTTCCAGCGCGGTGAAATCAACCTTTCAGCCCTATGCGGTCAATTAATTTGCACCAGAGATTTCTGATAGTATGGAAAAATTGACTTGTTCGAGCAAACCTAGCAAACCAGTGCACGTCATTGTAGAGGCCAAATCGCCCTCAGCAAGCAACTACATAGCCCAGGAGTGAATGGGAAAAGATGTGTGGCCCACCCCAGAGAGGAATTGGTCGACGCCGAGAGCTTTTTGAGACCCTTCAATTCAGCTTTTTAGATTCTCTTGATAGAAAAATGTCCTGAATTCCCAGGGAGGGTCGAGACTATTCCAGTACCCGAGCATGACTGCAATTATGTCGATGAGGAAGGAAATGAGGTGCACGGCAATCACATATGGCTTACGAGAAATACAAAAAAATGGTCTAGGCTCTACACAGTATTTCTAACTATAATGCGAGATGTTGTTTTAATATGATAACTGCTGTCTAACACCGTAGTACGCGCTTAGAAAGCTTCACAAGAACGCTGAGTTATGGACGCCAAAGTAAGACGCCCCAGACCGAAAACCCTTATCTCCTGCTGACGCGCGTTATGAGTAAGAAAATTTAAGACCGCCAGGTTGTGTAACGGCTTTAGAGTTATTGCCGTACTAGAGGCGGAGCGGAGAATGATTGACAGAAGAAAAGCGTCTGTGGCATGAGACCAGAGAGCCCGGGGATCCCTCCCTCACCCACAATTACTGGGAACTGCATTATCCAAGACTTGTTATTTAACCCAGGCCATGGAGGCCAAACTCTTAAGTCAACATAATCGATATCCTCAACGAATCCCTTGAACAAGATAAAGAGAATAGACGTACCAACGAAGAACAAAACGCAAGGTTCAACCCCGGACGCAGAGTTCTTCCAACAGTGATGTACCCTGCCCCGGCATGACCTCTTCTCACAAACCTTTTTTTGCCGTGGAGCGGAAGGGGGGGGAGGGAGGGAAAGGAGGAGCAGACACCTCCGATGAGCTAGGCAAGGAAAATTATTGGCCGTCGCGTCGCTTCAATGGAATGCACCTTAAGGCTCATACTTGGTCGTAGGGGAGGCGGAGACGTGTGGCCGTATTTAGCCTTAAGAACAAAAACTCGGGGCAGTTCGGCGACGGGGGACATTTTGCACTTTTGCTACTTCCCATCAACCTGTCGACCCATCTAGATAGCCTTTTCTCGTGTTGACAGGTTTTACCATGGTAGCTCGACGAGCTTGCTCCAGCTTCACAAGAGTTCACAGGTTTTACCAGAGTGAGACCTTGTGAACAGGAACCAGTGAAGCAGTGAAAGTGCAAAATGCCCCCCCCCCGTCGCCGAACTGCGCCCAAAGTTTTTATTGTGATTTTTCCTTTTCCCCTCCGCTTAGCGGAATGGGAAGAATTCGCATGAAACAGGAAAAATCAACAATAGGGAATGTTCTTCTCGAGGCTAAATACGCCAATACGACCCCATCCTCTACGACCAAGTAGGAATATAATCATGGGTTTGGCAAAACGATGCTGCGTTCTATATAGGAGGCTGTCCAAAATGCATTCACCTTGCTAGCAAGATTAATTCCACATTCGTGGCAGCAATTTGTAACCAAATCACCCATACATATTTAATATTGCGTAATGACTTCTGCAACCGGCTGTTTGCAGATCGATTACGGTAGTGAAGCGGCCAAGCAATTATCCGCACAATTCCGAAAAGCGAAATGTCGATTAACTGGTATGAAAGAGAATGAAGCGGAAGCGATCGGCCGGCAGTAACGATGTATCACTAGAGGAAGCCGCCACGGCGCCATCGCGCCAAATCCAATTGGTTACGCCCGTCACGCCCTCTCTCCACCCCCGCAACAGAATAGTAATTGATCCGATTCGGCTCATGTCACTCACTGGATTCGTGAGGCAACACATAGGCCACGGATGGTAGGAGAAAGAAGACATGGCTCCTGACAAGATGCAAGTTTGAACTCAATGCCACCAACCGGACTGTCTAGAAATGGTCAAGGGTTTCCGTCTACGATACCCATTGTGGCAGGTACAAAGAAAACAAGTTTGTAAAGCCAATTGTCCAAATTTATGTTCCCAATAGCCACACTAGAGTCATGGCACTGGAACAGGTTTCGGACGTTCTCTAGACGATCTACCTCCGAAAGAGATGTAGATGAAACTATTACTTGACTTGGACTCAGGGCATGTCATGACGAGCGGGAACTTGATCGTAGGACCACGATCACGGTCCTCATGTTGCAAGAGCTTGCTCGTTACCATTATAGCAGAAACTCCTTGGAGGGGAAGAATTGGAAATCTCCATTCCTGCGGTCCTCCCAGATATCTTTTAGCAAGCCGCCTATGATACCCTCACAAAAATACTTCAGCGCTCGATCCTTATGTGCGCGATTTCTTAGAAGGCGAGGGAGGGATAAAACAGTTAAGATCTCCTATCGTTCCCAAAGCTGCCACGCCCAGTCACATCAAACGCAGGCCAAATGATTCTCGACATGGAACCGCTTCCGACTTCAGCTTCCACACCTTGTTGAACTTGAGGAATTATTGCAGCTACCGATTCACCTAAGTTTCCATTTTCCCTAAACAACCAGTGGAGTCTATCAGAACAGATGTAAGGCATTTTCGTGCTTAATCGAATCCAATCTTACTGTGGAAACGCACCACAGCTATAGCACTGGGTGAATCAGCCATTCTGGGATTTCGGATTAGGGAGGGGGGAGCGGGCATTTTTGTAGATTTGTGCGCGAGCCCTGAGGTTGCTAAATATATACTCATTTTCCTGCCATTTCAACCCACACCCTCATAATCGGGAGGAAGTGTGTCTTCGATGGCAACGTTCCTCGCCACAAATCCTCGCTATTACTCACAGGCTTCGCCCGCTTCGTTGACCTATGTGGACTTTCAATCGCCAATCGGCCTTCAGCACGTAGAGCTGAGTCATCTTAAGCGCCAGCTGTGAATCGGGGTACCTGGAGGGTCCGCGTGCTCAGCAGAACCCCCGCAAGTCATTGTGAAGTCCACAACATATTCAATGAGTCAGCACGGATGAAGAACGTGCCGCATCCCCAGGAAGCATCGACTGAAGCGAAAAGCCTGGTGTTTGCCTAAATATTTTATATTCTATTTAGGTTTTGAAAAAAAAGATGGAGGGGCGGAAAGTAGGCAGTTTCTACAGAATGCCCTCTTCATCAATGACGAAAGCTGATCAAAGTTAGCTCAGATAACATTTCGTTGCCATATAATGGGGTAGGAGGAGAGAAGCTTGGCGAGGAATGCTTAGAAGAGTCCACGCGACTCTGTTTCGAGCAACATTCATCCACTGCCTGTTCGACTTTCTGGCCTATGGTCTGTGTACTGCCTGGATTGAGACGAGACAAGTCATCCCGCTCTACGGCAGTGAGACTTCACAGAGCGAAGGTCGTCAAGACCGCCTTCAAATGTTGTAAGAGGTTTTACTGCTCCGAAACTACTTTCCCAACCTCCCAACAACGACTCTCTTCTTTCCTACTCACATTCAAACCTATTTTATCTGCTACGCTATCACTGAAGCTAATGCTGTCTTTCAACAAGGATGAGTCTCAAAAACGGCTCAGCAGTCAGGAGCCTTCCAGACCATTGTTGGCAAGAAAGCGCCAACTGATCTGTTTAGAGAAGGGACCAGATCGTAAGTAATAAGTGTAGTACACATCACAGCAATGCCGAGTTAGGGAGGAGTCTTGACCGGACCTATTGAGGCGCGGACACGAACCCAAATATCAAGCTCTACGGGCGGCGTGCGCTATCCGTTACACCGCCAGGCCAGCTTCACCCTCTGGAAGGACGGTAAAGAACATATGTATAACATTCATTGCTAGAACTGTTGTAGTTTACAGTAAGACTTCATGTTGAAAATTTCGTAATCCTTCGCCAACCTCATAGAATGGTGCCGAGTGCAAATAACAGAAACATGGCCCGTTACTCGACCCCGGAACGGGCCACCCTCCTCCCACGCGGCATTAAGACGCCTGTTATGCTCTCTGCCCTCTCACCTCAGGCATGTTCGTTCATCAAAATAGCTTGATCAACGTGGGAATATCCACCTCTCTTACTAGACAGTCCAGCGACGTGGCTTTGGCTGCGTCAGGGGATCCCTCACGAGAGAGATGGTGGAGGCACTTGGTCTCGATTTCAGTAATACTAATATACTCGTACGCTCGAAATTTTATGAAGTTGCAATTGTAAAATGTAGCAAGAAGTCAAAACTCACGTCAATTTCTTTTCACATTTGGCACACTTGAAGCATTGATTGTGATAGAGTTGCTTATTGGCGAACACTCGTTCCACTGGATAAACGTTTTTGCCGCAGACTGCACAATCTTTCGGTGCCTCATCAGCGGTTATATCCTGAAAAAAAAGCTGTTCAGGTTACGAGTTTTGAGTTGGAAACCGGCAAATGATGGCAATCAAACAGCTGGAGAACCGTAACGAGGGCAATTCATTCAGATATTCGCTTGAAGGAGAGATTTATCCAGGTCGTAACACCTGGTCTGATGTCTTTATATGGGCTTCGGCGGACATAAGAACATCAATCGTACGAGTTTCTGCGAGCAAAAACTGTTCAAGTTGCTCGTGTACCGGACGAAACTTCGAAACCGGACCCACATCATGAAGTTCCCAACCTCATCAAGCACGGCTCCGACAGGGAATTATATGTGAAGCCGAGTTCAGAAGACGTGGGGAAAGCATAAACAACTGATCGTGCGACTATTGAAAATGGAGTTTGGGTTTTTTTCTGATCGATTTTTCTTCGACAGTCCACCTGGATAAGTTGATGCACTCAGTGCGGTCAGCTAGTGTATAACTTAATGCCTCGTGTGCAGTATCTTTTCTAGACATCTTCAGGAGAATGACTGTGGGAACCAGGTCAGCAGACTAGTTCTCAGAGCCTTTTTTCCAAGTGGTCTTTTCAAGTGCCGGTCGGATGATCGATCCTATTACACAGCTAGCTGCGCAGCATATATGGGATTTACTCGTAAATAAGGCTGCGTTCATACTTTGTGGCAGCGTTCACCAGCGAACAGCAGCTTGTTGGCAGGTCGTCCACCAGCGAAAAGCGGTGTCCACTAGCGACCAACTTAGCGTTCGTGGCGTCCGGCAGCGGCCCAGGACTAAAGAAGGATAGACAAAGACCATAGCGACGCGGCAAAAAACAACAGCTTACCAGCGATCACTATGCGTTCCGTGCGTCCAACAGCGGCAGCGACTAAGGGATAAGATACCGACTTAGCGACCGGCAAGATCAGCAGCGTCTGACAGCGTCCACGAGCGCCCACCAGCGGCCAGCAGCGTCTACCAGCGTCCATCAGCGAACAACAGCGTCCAAGAGTGGAGAGCATGGGGCAATAGGAGGGTAGCAGACAGCTGCTAGAGTATGGCGAGATAGGAGGGTATCAGCTGTCTGCTGCCCTCCTATCGCCCCATACTCCACCAACTGTTTGCTGTCATCCTATCGCCCTATGCTCTCCGCTTCTGGATGCTCCTGGTCTGATGGACACTGATATGGATATGGACGAGCCTTTTCGACATTTACTGACGCCTCCTTCGCTTGACAGTCAAAAAATGAGGTAGGGTGTGCCAATGAGACAGTCACAAGTAGACCTCACCACGTCTACATAAGTGGTGTGGAGGATGTCTTCAATGGAATCATTTATACGGTAGTGATCTTGTGAAGCTGGCTTAGCTAGGACGAACTAATACTGGAGCCTGCTTTCGTGAGGTGACAACCATAGCATCCTTGAGAAGAAACCCTGTTTAAATTTATTTATTTTTAATTTAATTTAATTTTTTCCCTATTTGAAATGAGGCTTGCTCGCGCATATGCGAGTTGACTACTATGGAGTTCCCAAAATTTGAAAACTTCAAAACAAAAAGTCGGAAACTCTCACCCGATTGAAAGCAGCTTTCACTTTTTGCATATCGGCACTTCGTTCTATCTCCACTTTCTCACGTTCAATGGTCATGTCCTCAGCACCCTTCTCGAACCTGTAATGTCTCCGAGATAATGAAGTTATGACCACTATGTAGTTATGATGTGAATCACAAAATGAGCAGGTTTCCATCTCCAGTCACTCTAGACCTCAAGAAAAAAATATAGGCAGTATCCATGACAAGAAAGAAATCCTAAGTGGCAATCTTGTTTGAGACCGAAATCCTCACCGCCGCATGGAGAACGCCACAAAACCACTGCTATAGCGTTCTGATTCGCAGAACCTATCTTCGTCATAAATCACGCCCGTAAAGACATGGGGCAAGGATGTGAGTGGCTGCTTGCGCTTCCCATAGGTAAGCTTAAAAACTGGAACGCTCATGTAATCCTCGCGTGACCCGGAGAACAATTAGCAGTAAGTCAAAGAAAGCTCAAAGTGTCCAAAGAAAACCGTTATCTGCTCAACTACTTCTATGAAGTCCCCAGTTCAGGAACTGCTATCAGAACAATTTCGGTCCAATGCGCATTCTCGGTGAGATCATAAATGTAAGCCCATATATTGCCCCACGAACCTTGTAAAGCCATTATGTATCCCAAATGCGAACGGCTGAAAGCGCGCTGATGGGAAAATCTCTCCCGCGCAATTTTCACTCAGGTGTATGGCACGTTTATCTGGTACTGCTCAAAAATGGTAGCAGGGGTGCTATGTTGTCGGGAAAATGACGAAAAGCTGAATTAGAAACCAGAAAGGAACCTGCAAAAAAACTTTTTCTGCGCGCTATTTTAGTAGCATTTTGGGATGGGTTTCCTGTAGCCATCGTCAGCTTCGAAAGTTACGGCAGCACGTATTTCATACAGAGCGGGGGAGGGGGACAAAAAAGACACTTTGGCCGAGTCACATATCAGTAAAGTTTACGCAGCCCAGAGAAGACGTGGATACGAGTACCAGGGCGGAAGATACCCAAGATGTTCCTCGATGCAGGAGCAGGCTCTCGCCCATCACCTTCATGTACACCAAAATATGAAGTCATCTCCAATCGCAGCCTGACTGGAGAAGGCCTTTGGAATTCACGTCACCTCCAAACAGCTGCGAAACTTCTTGTATGGAGTCACCCATGGACAGCTACCTGGGGACCAGCACTCTTGATCTGGAAGACCTCCAACATCGAGCAGCTCCGACAACGTCGCTACGGTCCAGGATATCATCTTCACCGCAGTCGCCAAGGCGCGGGTTGATGGTATGGACCGGAATTCCTGGAATGGGAAGACCGATATTTTCTTCGTGGACCTCGGATTGAAGGTGAACGCTGACGGAGGATTGGGTGCCTCCACACGCACGGAATTGAAGGGCGTTAGAAAAACCCTC